TCGAGTGTACCCCACCGCAATGCATCGTCTGCTAAGTGTAGCATTCTATGCGATTGTAGGTTGCATTTTTTTCTCCATATAATTGTAGGAATTCAACGAAGTATTCTTCTAATAAGTGTTTTGCATATCTGTTTGTTTCAAAATCTATATCAGGAGTTGCCAGAAGACGCATAGCCAAGGACAATTTAATAAAATGATTATATACGTTAGATCTTACTATCTTCCGCAATACAATGAGTCCAGTATAAAACAAATATTGACGAAACTCAGTTGCTTTCATACGATCGAGTTCGTCCAAAGCTCGTGGTTTACGGGCAAAATCAAACGGAATATATTTTTGAAGTTTAAGTTGTCGTTCAGAAATATCCAAAATCTGCTGTGCTCCTAACTTCATCGGATTCACCTTTCCAGTCATTATTTTCAATACTTTTTTTATGTGGCCTAATGCCACTAAATGCATGTAGTCATAAGGCAATTGTGAAACCATATCAATATTGAGCCTCATCAAGGGACTTATTCCAATATGATGTTCTTGTTGTGACTGAGCTGCAAATGATTCTGCCGTTCGTAGAGGAGCGTCCATTTCTGGATATACCACATTTCCCATGTAGGTACCTTTAGTTTCGCATTTGCCACATGCATAGTATCCCCCATGAGTTTTGATGCAGGCGATGTATGCTCTTGCAGGAGCATCGCATATGAAACAGTCAATAATAAATTTACTGTTAATGCCTTTCCAGGTAAATCCATTCTCTATCAGACTCTCAGCTTCTTCGACAAAGTACTTTAAAAATTCTTCAGCACCTGAAGGCTTTTTATACCCGTGAAAGGCTCCAATGAATGGTTCTTTATTTTTGAAATTTCTGAAACTTCCCAGAATTGGCCATAATTGGCTCTTGGAACTTCTGATAAGCGGTAATCCGTCTATGTTGAACGATAAATGAATTTCTTGAGGTATACAGGTGCCGCTTGTTTCAATAATGTGACGTAAGCCTTTTGCAATACCAAAATGTACATATCGTCCATGTGCCATTGGAATAGTTTCCGCCTTCCTGGGGGTTTGTAAGAGCGTTCGAGCGTCTGCAGGAAGAGACTTCATAGCATCTTCTACTTTCAATGCGCCTAATAGAGCAGTAACAGCAGATCTATGTATATATGCGTATGAGTCCACTTCACCAGATTTTGTCGTAATCGAATAATATTTACATCATTATTTTCATCTTCCGATTGCGACAAAAAATCACTACTTGCGTATTCGTCGAACGGTATCAATTCATCTCTAAATCTTTCTTCTGGGAGGCCTTCTGCGATAATTTCTTCATCTTGGAAAATTTCTTCGTCTTGGATAGTTGCTTCCTCTTCTTGAGCAATTTTCGACAAAAAGTCTACTCTTTCGTCGTTGTTTTCGTCGGAAAAAAAGTCATTGCAATTATTGCGATCTTCACTTGCATGTGCCCGCAAATTATTTTCTATTTCATGCACTCTTTCCTGTGCAAGTTTTCGCTTATATTTCTGACTGAACTGTTTTATGTATTTTGACATGATTCAGTATTGTGTATATTGATTTAGTTAAAATCTGTAGAAAAAATGAAATTGATAGTACCGATATCATTATAGCAAACATTCTCATATGACGATAGATAGTGATTTTGGCATGCTTGGAATTACTGCAGGCGTAATGTAACATCCAACAAAAAATGCCACATTTGACTTGATGCGATATAATTTCAGAATAAAGTTGCAAAGAAAAAAGCAAATTTTTAAACAGTGCAATATGTTAGCTTGCAAGATATTCTTGAAACATTTCAGCAATATTCTTAAATGCTGTTTTAAAAAAATTTTTCAAGATATTCTGAAAATATTAGTTTAATTTACTCCCTTTGTATTTTATTGCTTTTGTATTTAAACACAGCACTGTTTCAATGTATTTAGTTGTACTTAAGTCTAGATTAAAATATTTTTTCAGAATATCTTTTAAATATTACGATAAAATGCTAATATACAGCTATGAATTTTAATTTCATAAGACATATGGACTTGACGCTAAAGCTAGCAGCACGAGAGGCATCAGTCCAGGGGCGAATCGCGTCCGGAGATCTTTATCTCAAAAACTTGAAAAATCGTACTTATTATTCACTCAATAGTATCCTAACAATAAAAATAAAGTTTCACAAATTCGCACACGTTATAATATTGTCTTTTATATATTTCACAATTTGTCGCGGAATCGCCGAAGCACCATCGCGCCAAAAAACATATGAGTGTCCTCCGGCGACAGCGTTGCTGGGCACGTGATCGTTAGGCCCGATTTGGCTTGTCATGATCACGTACCGATCATGACCATGTGGCGCTGCCAGCGAACGTTCCCATTGGTCAGGTGTCGTTCCAGAACCGCCGCGGCGTGCTCGAATTTGAAAAGTCGCTTAAA